GAAGCTCGTTTGCTCCGAGGAGCGATACAGAACAGTCGTTAAACCCTGCCTGTGCGCGGTCACAGGGCACTGTTTCTGTCTCTATAATTACTCCAGAGGCCAGTCTCGAGAGACTGGTACCCTTAGTGGAATTTCTGGCAGAATGGGAAAGTCTTCCAAATATATCTCGATGGGTCCTGCAGACTATCGAACGCGGGTACGCGATCCAGTTCAGGTCACGTCCGCCTCGTTTTCGGGGGATTTTGCCTACAGTGGTATCCCCCGAGCAGGCTCTGGTCATGGAACAAGAGGTGAAAGCTCTGTTACTGAAGGGGGCGATAGAACGAGTTCTTCCCCCCGACAGAGAGTTGGGGTATTACAGCCGTTACTTCATTGTTCCAAAGAAGCTAACGATATACGCCTCCCTCACGGGCTGGGGGCGATCATGAGTGGTCGCTCAGCCCGGGGTCTGTGGACTTTCTCCCAGACCTGAGGGGTCACCATGTTCTTGTCCGGTCAGACAGCACATCGGGGGTCTTTTTATAGACCATCAAGGGGGTCTGCGCTCATGTCCATTATTCAGGCTAGCGCCAGATCCTTCTGTGGGCCCAGGGGAAGCTTCTTCTTTGGCGATTTTATATCCCAGGATATTTAAATCGGGGAGCAGACATCCTGTCGAGGCAGGGGCCGAGGCCCGGGGAGTGGAGACTCCACCCCGAGGTGGTGGAGCTCCTATGGAGTCATTTCGGTCATACCGAGGTAGGCCTATTTGAATCCAGGGACTGAGACACTGCATGCTGTGGTTTCTCTGTATCCACCAGCCCCTCTGGGGTTGGATGCGATGGTACAGGAGTGGCCGAGGTCACCCCTGTACGCATTTCCCCCGATTGCTCTGCTCCCAGGAGTTCTGGAGAGGGTTCACCGAGTCGGGGTCTTTCTACTGTTAGTAGCCCCGCGTTGGCCGGTCCGAGTATGGATGCGGGTCGATACTTCACCCCCGCCCAGATCTATGGAGGTTGTGGCTTGGCCTCTGAGGGGGCCCAGCTCATAGAATCGGGTCTCTCGACTGAGGTCGTGGAGACCATCCTCCAATCCAGAGCTCCGTCCACGAGGAGATTATATGCCTTGAGGTGGCAATGTTTCACCTCTTGGTGGGGAGAACACCAGTTGGACCCAGTTAACTGCCCGGTGTGGCGGTGCTGGAATTCCTTTGGAGCATTTCTCCACAGGGTTATCCCACTCCACACTAAAGGTGTATGTGGTGGCCTATCTGCTTACCACGTCCCTTTGAGTGGAGCTTTTCACGGGAGATACCCATTGGTAATTCTTTTTCTTCGTGGTATTGTGAGGTCAGACCAAGAGAAACTAATCTGCTCTGCCCTCTGAGGGCTCTAGATGCTTATGTCCACAGAGCTGCCCTGTGGAGAAAGCCTGAACAGTTATCTGTTTGTTTTGGACCTCCGAAGAAAGGTTGTCCCGCATCTGAGCAGAGGTTGAGTAAGTGAGTGGTCGAGGCCATCTCATTTGCATATGAGTCCGCCGGTCAGCCTTCTCCTTTGGCTGTCTGGGCTCACTCAACCAGGGGTATGGTAGCTCCGCTCCAGGGGCGCAGGTGCTTTCGTCTAAATATGTGCCTGATTTCATACAACGGACACCTGCTCGCATGGCGGCGTTGGTATTAGCGTTCCCACGGCGTTTACACGCAGCTCGAAGTTCCCTGAATGGGAACGTCTCTGGTTACGTATGTAACCCTAGTTCCCTGAAGGGAACGAGACGCTGCGTGTCTATGCCATACTCCCAGCATGCCCGTGAGCGCTTGCTTCAGTCCTATCAGAAGCTGTTGCGCTTGTGTTTCGGGGATGCTTTATAGTTTCCTGGTCGATACGTCACCCCGCCTATGACGTTCCGTCTCGCCATTGGACAGATTTCATACGTGCTTCATGACTCGTCACGCAGAGGCGTTCCCACGGCGTTTACACGCAGCGTCTCGTTCCCTTCAGGGAACTAGGGTTACATACGTAACCAGAGACGATTTTCGTCATTGACTTTCTGGGCCGTCAAGTTTCGATCCCTTAGGAGCTTATGTAGCAGTGATCCACCTCTCAAATTTAATCAAAAATATTTGTGTTCCGAAGACAAGCGAAGGACTTACGGGGTTGGTACAGCATGGGGGTGAGTAATTAATGACTTAATTTTCATTTTTGGGTGAACTAACCCTTTAATATTTTACAGGAATTCAGTGTTTCCATTTTTCTGGATTTATGCTTTAATACAAATTTATTATCAAAAGCAGTGGTAATCAAATCGAGGCATAACGCGTTTAAAAAAAATCTTTTAAAATGTAATGAAAATTAAACAATCAATATAATTTGCTGTGCGTTTATGGGCGATGTTTTGCATAAAACAGTGGGCCAAAGCTGAGACAAACACAAAATAACATGCACAAACAAACATCAGGTGTGTCAGGCTCGCAAAGGTTGTTTTGGAGGAAAACAGTTTGGAGGAAGTCAAGACCACCATTGGTTTCTTGTGAAAAGTGTGTAAATGGATCCTGTCCTTTTGCCTTCAGTGTGAGTGGGTGTATGTGTGTGCGTCTGGAAATGTGTGCAGTGCACTCTTAAGTTGCACTCTTTGTCCTGCTCCAAATAACCTGATTCACTTCCACTGAACAAGCTGCAGAGGAATGTCAAGGTGTGCTATTGAGAGGGGCTTGTTGCTCCTTGTAGCAAATGTTTGCTTAACTTACAGGAGAGGGACCTAAATGCACATATATGCCTTATGTTTTCACTTCTCCACCAGGTGGGTTAAGCAACCTGAAAAGAGGGTGACAAAGCTGATTTCCATAGGGACAGAGAGAGGGGTGTTGGATTACCCTCTGTCCTTTCTGATTTGCCACCTGCTGTCCCCTTTAATCTGCCAGCTAGTTCAAAATAATTAAATGGCACTTAACTGTGTGCCATATACAGTATGTGCCACTTAAGACCCATAAATCTGCACAGATCGCCTGGTGTTGTGTCATAGCGGTCTGTATACCAGACTTTGAGGTTACAATGACACTTCTCCAGTTAGAGGAGAATTTCATTTCAATTTGTAAATCGTGAACTAACTGTTAATGTTAAACTAATTGTTGTATTTTTTTGGCTTTTATGTGGCTCTCAGGCTTTGTACAGTCTTTACAAAGTCTTTCATTATTTGGTTTATAAGATTTTTGTTGTGTGTGTCTTTGGCTTTTTCAACAGTCAGGATTTGAATAGTTAGGATTTGAGTGATATATTGTTCTCTCTCTGTCAGTGTCTACTTCTATGTGAATCCCTCCATAAAGTTTCTGGCCTGTTTCTGTCTGAACAATTAGTCGTAAACAAGAGATCACTAGAAGGGAGCAGAGGCCTGTACAGGGCAGTCCCAGCTTTCTAACCTACTTTTCACTGGTTCCCTCTCTTGTATCCCAGGGTTTAAATCCGCACTAATTCTCTTACCCTTGCTTTCACTCTCTTTATATCGCTCCATTATTTGCCTAAGCCAAAACCTCTATGTCACAGAAAAATGCAGTCACAAGTTGGAAAAGTTGCAGGCTTTGTGGAGTCATGTGACGTTCTAAATATGGAGACAGGTTCCACAGGGGGCCTAACATCAGCTACACTCACACAGACAGACGCTGTATACACACACACACACACATCCTTTGTGATTGGTAAATAAGGCCTTGGTTATCAGTTTAAGACCTTTGAGGTTTTTTTTTAGATGGCTGTCCGAACACCCCTGACCCTTTGGCCAAGTACCCACTGTCCAAAACCTCATGGGGCCCTTATCCCCTCTTGTCGGCACCTTTTCATCCTTTAATCAAAGTGAAATGCTATCCAATGACCTTTGAACTCCAGAAGGGGCATACCGCTTAAAGGACCCTTATATGTATGTGCAGCTTTCATTAATCACATTATTCACATGTCTGCTCAATGAAGGGGATTGGATTTCACAGAGCTTGGTACAGGTTAAGAAATGCCATGTTGTTATGTAGATCCTGACATTTATGTGTGCATATAAGGCTTTTGTCTTGTGACAGATGAAAACATGAGCAAAAATGATAATCCTGAGCCATAACTACAGACCAGCAAGCCAGTACACTGGATATTAATACTAACGTAATACTATGTATAAATATTATGCTTTGTGTGCAATGATGCCGATTCGATTTATTTATTATTTTGAACAGAAAGGATGCATTAAATTTATCTAAAGCAGTCTAAAACAAAAGATTTCTTTCTCAAATAAAAGCTGTTCTTTTAGAGCAATGGCTTCTGAAAATGCAGCATTGCCTTCACAGCAGCAATACATTACATTTTAAATATTCAAATAGAAATGTTATTTAAAATAGTAATAACATTTCACTATATGAATGCATTTTTTAATCAAATAAGTCTGTCTGAGTCTGTTTAAAAACTGTGTGAATGAGTTTTTTTTTTTTCAGAGAAAAAAACAGCACTGAAAAGAGATAAATGATTGGGAAGGGTGGGACAAGCACACTTTGGAATGTGATCTCAGCATGAGATGAGGGTACAATAGAGCTTATATGTATCTTTGTGTGTTTGTGTGTGTGTGAGAGCGCTCTATAGGGGTTTGGTTTAGTGGTTAGAATGTATAGGGTAACTAATCGTCTTGGCCAGTATGAACACAATAGACTCTAGTTCCTGTCTTTCCTTTTTTTTTTGATGTAGACGTTTTGGTATTCTGTACCAGAGGCTAAAATCCAGAGAGGGATTTGTCTTTTGTTCCTCTGTGGGATCACATACTGTACCACTTTCTGCTGTCCAGGTGATCCTCTCTGCCCTGCAGGGAAACAAACAGATCAATCCTTCTAGTGAAACAGTCTCTCTACAACTTATTGATGTTACACACATTCACACACTCACATAATGAAAAGTAATAAAAAGTAATATGCTTATAATCATATGGATGTGGTATTTTATTGACTCTGACAGTTGTACAGGATTTAATCTTGTCCCTCTATCTTTGTTTGTGTACAGGGATCAAATTTGCAGGAGCCCTGTGCGGGCCGGGACTGCAGAGGAGCGTGTCCATGTTTGCCCTTAAAGGGTAGCAGGGTGAGTGATGAGAAACTGTTTGCTAATGTTGAGACTGTTCATTCCTCTATCCTGACCCCATTCAATACATCATACATCACTGCTAAGTGAAAATTTACCTTCAGATCTGCAAACACCTGCACGTGCAGTGTCACTCATATGCACACAAACAGATCTCTCACGTGTCAGGCAGCCACATGAATGAACACTAACTATCTCTTAGATTACACAGAACGTGTTTTTCCATTCCAATGCGCTATTTATTTTCAATTGTTTTTCGAATTTCGGAATTGTTTTTTTGTAAACGAATATGACCATTGCACTTGCGCCGTAAGATGCTTTTACATGCGCTCATCAATGTCAGTTCCAAAACAGTGGACTATTCGAAATACTCTAGAGGTGGGGGCAAGCGTTGTGAGCTTATAGCAAGTTGGCAAGTATTTCTGTTATTGCACCACATCTCAAAAGCATGTCTCAAGACCCTCAGATTCTGCACTGCACATTTTTTAACCATTCCTGAGACAAAAAGAAGCATTCTGCGTGAACATGGCCCTTAGACAAGGGGTTTTAATTTTTGGGACCACTGTCCTTTTAGCTTTAGCTTTAACCTTGATCAAACTCATCTGCCTATAACTTTCTAGTAATCCTGAAGACCTTGATTAGTTTGTTCAGGTGTGTTTGATTAGGATTGGAGCACAGCTCTGCAGGAAAGTGGGTGCTGTTATTCAACACCGTTTTCAACTAAAAACGCTAAAATTAAACACAAGTTTTGAAAACGGGGTTCAAAGTGCAATTTTTTTGAAACGGTCTCACTGTAAACTACAAAAACGTGAATCTCTGTAGACAATTACTTGCACATGCATATTATGCGTTTAGTCTGTAGTGTTTCATCGTCATCTAATGGCCTGGCAGCAGAATACACGGTTCTCTTACAAGAGTACTCTTGTGTTGTGTAAGCTAGCTTACGCTACAGGAAAAACCTCTTTTCTTGAGAATACTGAAGCCAAAAATTATACTTATAATTTGTATTAATTTAAAACGCATTTGCTGCAGCGAGCAGACCTAGGCGAGGCAGCTCGTGCGCCTATTGGCTGCTCTGTGGAAACTGCTGCAACCTATCGAGGGACTGCTTTTGACGTAAGCACCAATGAAGGGCGCTCATTCATCACATCCCGCACGAGTGGGCATGGCTTATGCCTATATCAAGGATGTGCCTTGATTTTCATCTCATCAGCGAATCTCGGAGAAGAAACCTGTGCCATCGAACTGCCTTTTCAGCGGGATGAGTTTTCTGAGGAAGCCGGTCGTCTTCTCGCCACCTTCAGTCGCTGTTCCTGCTGCACTATCCTGCGCCTATACCCTTTCTCGCTCCATGTGCGTTCGCCGCTGTCACACTCACATTTTCTCTGTCTTAAAGAGGAGTTGCTACAAATGCCTCGTATTTGTAGCCATATCACCCTGTAGCCCAAGACTGGTTGCCCACTGAAGCTAAGCAGGGCTGAGCCTGGTTAGTACCTGAATGGGAGACGTTCTGAGAAAGCCAGGTTGCTGCTGGAAGAGGTGTTAGTGAGGCCAGCAGGGGGCGCTCACCCTGTGGTCTGTGTGGGTCCTAATGCCCCAGTATAGTGATGGGGATACTACACTGTCAAAGAGCACCGTCATTCGGATGAGACGTTAAACCGAGGTCCTGACTCTCTGTGGTCACAAAAAATCCCAGGATGTCTTTCGAAAGAGTAGGGTGTAACCCCGGCATCCTGGCCAAATTTGCCCAGTGGCCTCTGTCCATCATGGCCTCCTAATCATCCCCATCTGTACCAATTGGCTTCATCACTGTCTCCTCTCCACCAGTAAGCTGGTGTGTGGTGAGCGTTCTGGCGCACTATGGCAGCCGTCGCATCATCCAGGTGGATACTGCACACTGATGGTGGTTGAGGAGATTCCCCTCTCTATGTAAAGCACTTTGAGTGCCGAGAAAAGCGCTATATAAATGTAATTAATCATTATTATTATTATTATTTCATGTGGCGTGTGCAGAGTCCCTCTCACCAACGGGTACTGCCATATCCTGTTCACTTCCTGCTTGGGCCGAAACCAATCGATCCAAGGACGGATGTCCCGAGTGTGACACCATGGACATGTCGACCCTGCGGGCTCAACTGGCCATCTTCAACGTGGATCCCGCACCCCCGCCTCCCTCTTCTACGCCGCGCCGTAAGAAGCATCACTCTCAGAGGTAGCCTGAGGAGGCTCTGTTCGGACGAGTGCACGTCCAACAGCACGCCCCGCCCCTTCTCTTCAGGAGTCCAGTGGGATTAGAGCCAGCTTCAACTCTGAACATCTCCGCCTCTTCACGAAGGCCGTGGAGGACATCGGCCTGGATTGGTCACTGCCCGATGAGACTCAATAGCTGCTTTCTCCCTGGTCGCCATGCAGCGCCTTCCACGAGGCCCGCCCCATTTCTCCGCAAGCTGCACGAGGAGCTGTCTAAATCCTAAAGGTTCCCGCTTCTCAGCAAGCATGCTTACTGTTAAACACTGCACCCTCTGTGGTGCGCAAATACATAAATCATTCCCCGGCCCACATGATCAGAATGTTATGTGTAAATCAACCAGCTGCTGGTCTCAGCGTACGGCCTCAGATAAAAACTCCAAGCACAGTGTCAATTTATCAGCCCTATCAGGTCTCCGGGTGCTTAGCTTACAGCGACCAGAGCCCAGATACAATTTTACCCCGTGCTATACGTGTAAAAGCATGGGAAGCTATCAATGGCGTGTCAGATTGGGTGCTGAACATTATTAACAAGGCTATTCACTGCAGTTCGCTCGTGGAGCCCGGGTCGAAACTACAGTAGATCAGAAAGTAGCTCATCTGCTTCGAGACGAGATAATGAAACTGTAATTGAAGGGCGCCATAGAAACCTCGTAGAAACCTAGACCAGAGCGAGTCAGGTTTCTACAGTCGTTACTTCCTGGTACTCAAAAAGGATGACGTCTCAGACCCATTCTAGATCTCAGGCTTTTGAACAGAGCTCTCATGAAGCGATCGTTCAAAATGATTACAACCAGGCAAATTCTCGGGCAACATGTACATCGTACATTTACAAGGTGCATGGACGCATCGCTCGCCCCCCTGAAACAACAGGGAATGCGAATAGTGAACTATTTGGACGGCTAGCTAAGTATGGCCTTATGACACACAGGGATTTATTACTAAGCCATTTAAAGGCTCTGGGCTTCAAAGTCAATTGGACCAAAAGGTTTTCTATCTCGCAGTCAGAAAGCTTCTTTTCTGGGAATGGATCTGGACTCTTGTGTCAATGAAGTCACAGCGTGCTCTGTGTGTTCAGCGCTTAGGAATGTCATTTAAAGTAGGCGATGTCTCTCCTCTCAAAAGATTTCAGAGGATTCTAGGCCTCAAGGCTTCAGCCTCAGCGGTGCTTTGTTTAGGCCTGCTTTGCATGCACCCTTTACAGCACAGGCTAAAGACGCGGGTCCCGGGTCGAGCATGAACATCCGGTCCTTTACGTCTCAAGGTAACTCAGAACTGTCACAGCTTTAAAGCCCTGGAAGGTGGTCGACTGGTATTAGACAGGTGTAAACCTTGACAGATGCCTCCAATTTGGGCTGGGGCACCCTCTATGAGGGCAGACCGAATTTTGGCATGTGGTCAAGTCAAGAGAAGAGCTTGCACATAAACTGTCTAGAGATGAAGGCACTCGAGAATGCCTCGTGGTTCTTCCATCCTCTCCTAAAGGGCCACCATGTCTTTGTCTGCACGGACAACATTTAGGTGGTTTCCTACATGAATTGCCAGGGTGGTCTGAGGTCATGGAACCTTCATGCACTGGCAGAACGCCTCCCAGCACAACCTGCTCTCACTGTGAGGGGCACATGTGCCAGGCCATCTGAATGTGGGTCCAGACAGGCTGTCCAGGGACAACGTTCCCCCAGGGGAATGGTCTCTCCATCCTCAGACAGTTCAGCTGTTGTGGGACACATTTAGCACAGCGGAGGTCAACCTCTTTGCGTCTCCAGACAAAGCTCAGTGTCCAATATGCTTCACAAAGAACAAGGATGTGCTGGCTCATCAGTTGCCCAGCCGCCCTCTCTATGCTTTTCTGCCGATCACGCTGTTACCACAGGTAATCAAGTGTATACGGGAGAACGGTTCCTCTGTGCTTCTAGTAGCCCCGTTCTGGTAAGTGTTCTCAGGTTGGTGCTCAGCTTGCAACCTCTATCCACAAGATTGTGGGGTATCAGAGGTTCTCTCCTTCCTACAGGAGCTCTTGGATAAGTGTAGATCCCCATCCATGCTCAAGGTAAAAAAAATAAATAAATTGTGTTTAAAATCGTGTTTCCGTAGCGTAAGCTAGCTTACGCAACACAAGAGTACTCTCGTAAGAGAATGTCTCTCTAGAAGTGTCTCTAGAAGTGAAACACTCTTGAGTGTTGCGTAACCCTGCCGTGCTTGTGCTACCATCTGGTTTCGCTTCAGTTGATGAAAACCAAGGCGCATCCTATCAACCTCTGGCTTATATAGGCATGAGCCACGCCCATTCGCACGAGACGTTACGACTGTTTGGTTCTTACGTCACGAGCAGTCCCTCGATAGGTTGCAGCAGTTGCCGCAGAGCAGCGAATAAGCATGCGAGCTGCCTCGCCTAGGTCTGCTTGTTGCAGCAAATGCGTTTTTAATTAATATAACTCATATTGGTAATTTTTGGCTTCAGTATTCTAGAGAAAAGAGTTTTTTTCCCATAGCGTAAACTAGCTTATGCAACTATTGTTCCCTCTTCTGGGAGAACCGAGGTTACGTTAGTAACGAGATGTTTTCAGTCGTTTTTGCGGATCCGTGTGAATGGGGATAATTTTGACAATAGTGTCGCCTGTACTCGGAAAACTCAAACGAAAAACTTTTCATATCTTTATCTTTCTTTCTTTTTTATTATTCACGAATTGCAAACATAATTCTATTTGATTATTATTGCAATCTCATTTACACACTAGATATGGAAACAAAGT